TATTTTTTTTCCCTCCAAAATTGTAAAAAATAATTTTTTCTATTCTAAATCATGTAAGACAGTTTTTAGCATCAATAAAGAGTAAAAAAAATCTGAGTCTCATTATTAAACATGACACTTTTTACTCATTTTTATCAAACATAAGCTCTAAATATGTAAATGCTTTTAGAATAGTAAAATAATATTGAAAATAAAACTAAAGTTCATAATATGAAACACATACCAAACATATTTTGAGTTCTAAAAGAATAAAAATGAAGATGTTTTTAAAATAACAAAATTAAAAGGAGAAGAAAAAAAACCAAAGAAGATAACTTATTCACGCCACTAAATTAAACATTGAAAATGAAGATGCATTAAAGATAACAAAATATAAAATAGAAAAAAATTATCAAAAATGTATAATATAAACTTACCTAGAAATTTGAGGGAGAAACAAAAAAGAAATTGAGAAAGAAATAAGCTAAACAACTTAGTTACAACTTCATGCAACATTATTCTTGTCTTATACATTTACCTCTCACGACAAAACATTTTCACATTACACTAAACTTATATTTTAGCTCAAACTTTGTTATAATATTCACTCCATCAACATTACCCACTATCATATTTTCAAACTCAAAAGCACAAACATACGTATACAATCTTTTTAAGAGAATAAACTCATCACATCATACAACATAAGCACACATTCTCCACTTATTTTTTGTTCAAAAATCATTAAATATGTAACCGATTTTTATTTGCTTTTCATTTGCAATCATTAAATATATAGTTATAATAGTGAAACAAAAATTAAACTTTTAAATTTGTTGCAAAATCTCATAAATAGTCATCCCAATTCCTTAAAAATGAATACTCACACCCTTAGTTGCAATTATATAATGAAAAGATGGAGATTTAAAAAAAAAAAAAATTCGCCTCATCATACCCAATAATGAACTTAAAAATGTTGTGAAAAAAATAAATGAAACAACTTCATTATGCAACTACACAATTAAGATGGAGATTTAAAAAACAATTAAACTAACCCACTATATCTTCTTTTATCTATTTGAATAATGAATCTTATAAAAAGAATTTGCACATACCCAATCTACTCAATTAAAAAACCCTCGTCCAAATTATTTTCAAGCATGTACATATTATCTCTAAAATGAAATATTAATAATCCAAATTCTTTTTCATTGATCTTTTGACAACAAAAACCACTAACATATTTATGAGAAGTATGCAATTTAATATCAATTATTGATGAGGACCTGTCAATCATGGTGTATTACATGTAACACTTGCTATAATTACATTTTCATTGTGAGCACTGCATGTAACACTTGCTGTAATTACACTTCCATTGTTAGGGCACAAATGTAAACTAAAACAACATACACAGGAGTCAAATGCACAAAAATCAATCCAAAAATTGCGAAACTAAGAATCTAGTATCACTTATAATAGTCAAATTACAAAACATAATAATTGATATAACACAATTTTCAAGTCATAGAACTATGGATTAACAACCTTTAGATGTCTATGAAAGTAGAGAGCAAAAACTAACTTGAATTTTCAATGTATGTGACATAACAAATATATGATCCTCATTAGTATCATGATACTTTCCTAGGAATGATCAATAACAACAAACTTGTGGGAATCCAATTCTTCTATCCTGAGCCAAGTGGAAAGTGATTGGAGCATTGCTTGCTGTAAGAACTTGCCCACCCAAATCATAAACTTTTTCTGCATACATATTTTCACATAGTTAAAACCTATTGTCACTTAAATCAGTTAAGAAAGTGAAATCAAATATATACCTTCAATTTCTATTGATTCAGGCATGTCACCAATCATATGATGTTTCTCCAAAAATATGATATTCTTGTAACCGTGTTTAGCTAATGCAGAAACTTGTCAATCATCTTGGCACATTACATGTAGCTTGTTGTAAATACTTCCATTGTGAGCACAAAAACAAAACATAAACTAAGACAACATATGCAAGAGTGAAATACACACAAATCAATCCAAAAATTTCAAAATCACTCTTGGTCACTTCAACCTATTTTATTAAAGTGTTGACAAAATCAAACTCCATGATAACAAGTGAATAAAAATATAACAAAAGCAAAGGCGTTACTAAAATGGAGATCTAATTGTGGCACCTTCTACCCCAACATTAATACACAATAAATGTAAACAATAATTTTTTTTTCTTTTTCTTTTTGAGTAAATAAAATCTTTCATAGTTGACAACATCTTTCATGGATAAAAAGACATATAAAAAGTCAACATGTAGTATCAAAACTCAAGAAATCATATAAAGAAAAATATAGATTAATTCCAGCAAAGGTGGCAGTGCCTCCTAGTTAGGAATTAATTTATAACTTCCAAATCATGTAATGAAAATATAACAAAGATACACACTTTGGCCTTTCATCAAGAACGTTCAAAATTACAATTCTTAACAACACTTTCCTTGGATTATAAACTTTATCTACGTTATCCCTTTGCTAGAAATTACAAAAGAAAAGAAACTAAAGTTATTAAAACAATAACATCTTAAACTAAGCTAGCTATGCCCCGATGTCACATCCTATCATAGCATGCCCAACTAAAGCCTTAAGCCTCATCAACAACATCCTCATGATGATGATCACCTGCAACATAATTTAAACATATACAAGACTAACAAGGGAGTGAGAAACATCTCACTCTAATTTAGATGTAAAAATAAATGTTAGGCAACACACACAGTCATAACAAATACCACACAAATTACACATAACTAATCATAACTCTCAAGTTATAAATATATTAGAATACATATACATTCAATTATCATGCAATAATGTCATGGAATCGACTCATAAATGCATGCATGTGGCGCCATACAGAAGTTTACATTTCTTGTCACTGGTATGTTGCATAACAACATACCTGGGCACTTTCATTCATGAATACATCACTGGTGACCCTCAGGCACACCTTGTTATCTTGTTATATCACTGTGATCCTAAGGCACACCTTGTTAGCTTGTTACATCACTGGTGACCCTAAGATACACCTAAAATATCTCTGTACATCACTGGTATGCGGCATAAGCGGCACACCTGGAGTTGTATATGTATATGATGCATGTCATACATTCATTATTTCATTGACTCAACATTCGACTTATTACAAAATTTCATATTCTCATAATCATAGCTTATCTCAATAGTTCATTCTTATGTCTCATGTCATTTGTTCATATTTCACATAGTCATTTCATAATTGCTCCTCATAAGGTTCACACAGGAATTCACAGAGAGCACTCTTATTCATATTAAAACTTATTTATTTTTAAAATTAATTACATATTCATTCATTACTTCCAACATGGAACACTGTAGAGCAAACAGAAAGTAAAACAGAACACATTCATGTTCCTAGAAACATACATCAAGCAAGGGATTGGGGGCCAATCTGACTACCCAACAATTATTCCCACACCCCCGAGTGAGGTTTCTCACTCCCCCCTTACCTTGATAACTAGGAGCTGAAACTAGAGCATAACCTTGCTAATCTCCTCCTCTAGATTCTCTCTTTCTTTCTTTCTCTCTCTTTCTCTTTATTTCTCTCTCTCTCTCTCTTTTTTTCTCCTTCTCTCTCTAAGTTTTCACCTTAGTCAGTTATAAGTTTTTCACAGCCCATGCCTCCTATTTATAGGCATTCAGGGGTGGCCAGAATGACCCATTCTGAATCCGGAACGGCCCATTCTGGAGCCATTCATTATATGCAAAATTTACAACTGAAACGGCCCATTCTCAAAATCAGAACGGCCCATTTTCAAAATCAGAACGACCCATTCTAGGGTTCATTTTAACACACATTGACCATAATTGGAACAACCCGTTTCTAACTTCGATTTTAGGCCATTTTATTTGTCTGGAACGGCCCGTTCCACTTTTTGGAACGCCCGTTCCACTTTTTGGAACGGTCCATTCTGGGCCTAAAAAAATAAAATAAAATAAAATTTCATATAATTTTTATAAAAAAAATATATATCTAAAATTTTCTATAAAATTTCATTAAATAAGCTCCATAATTATAAAATAATAATAAGTAACTATGTAGAAGATTCGGGATGTTACAATTTTCCCCTCCTTTTAGAAATTTCGTCCTTGAAATTTACCTACAAACAGAAATGGATAAGCTTCTCGCATCTTACTTTCTAATTCCCATGTAACACTTTCTTCAATATTTCCTCCCCAGATGACCTTAACCAAAGAGATTTCCTTTCCTCTCAGTTGTTTCACTCTCGTGTCATCAATCCTCAAAGGAACCGTTTCATAAGTGAGATTATCTTTCAATTGAATGTTGTCATACTCAATGATATGGGAGGGATCATGGACATACTTTTTGAGTTGGGAAACATGGAAAATATTATGGAGATTTGAAAGAGATGGAGGCAAGGCAATTTGATAGGCCACTTTAGCGATCCTTTTAAGAATTTGATAAGGACCGATGAAACGTGGAGTAAGCTTACGAGATTTTAGTGCTCTGCCTACTCCTGTCCAAGGAGTGACTTTAAGGAATACATGATCACCTTCTTTAAACTCAAGGTCTTTTCTCCTCTTGTCATTATAACTCATTTGCCTACTCTGGGTTGCTCTCATCCTTTCTTGGATCATCTTAACTTGTTCAGTAGTTTTTTGAACTATCTCAGGTCCTAGCATGGCATTCTCTCCAGGCTTTACCCAACATAAAGGTGTTCTACATCTCCTACCATACAAAGCCTCATAGGGTGCCATCCCAATACTGGAATGGTAGTTATTATTGTAGGTAAACTCTATTAAAGGTAGGAAATTATCCCAACTACCCCCATGTTCTAAGATGCAAGCCCTCAACAAGTCTTCCAAAAACTGTATGGTTCTCTCAGTTTGGCCATTTGGTTGGGGATGGTAGCCTGAACTTAATCTAAGCTTAGTGCCTAAAGCCTTATGCAAACTCTCTCAAAATCTAGACGTGAACCTAGGATCTCTATCAGACACTATACTAGTAGGAACTCGATGCAACCTCACGATCTCACTGATGTACAACTTGGTTAACCTCTCCAAAGGGTACCTAATATTAATGGGAATAAAATGAGCAGACTTGGTCAATCTATCCACAATGACCCATATAGCATCCAAGTTCTTCACAGTCTTAGGTAACCCAACTACAAAATCCATAGAGATGCTATCCCATTTCCACACAGGCACATCTAAAGGTTACATTAGACCTGAAGGTTTTTAGTGTTCTACCTTAGCTTTCTGACATACTAATCAGGCATACACAAATTCCTCCACTTCCCTCTTCATCTTAGGCCACCAAAACATATTTTTAAGGTCTTGGTACATCTTAGTGGCTCCTGGATGGATACTAAGGCTACTCCTATGACCTTCTTCCAGGATTGCTCTCTTAAGTTCTGGCACACTAGGAATGCACAACCTATCCTTAAATCTCAACATTCCATCCACTCCAAATCTAAACTCACTCTCTACACCTTGATTCAACTTTTCTACTTGACTCAATAAGAAAGGATCTATCTTCTGACCTTCTCTAATCTCATCTATCAAGCTATTAGTCACTCTCAAAGCTCCTAACTTAATACTCTTAGAGGTCAACGTACATCCTAAACTCATATCCCTAAACTCCTCAATCATATGCAATTCCCTAATCATCAAAGAAGACACTCTCAAAGATTTTCTACTCAAAGCGTCAGCTACAAAATTAGCCTTGCCGGGGTGATAATTCAATTGAAAGTCATAATCCTTAAGGAACTATAACCATCTCATTTGCCTCATATTCAATTCCTTTTGGTCAAACAAGTACTTAAGGCTTTCATGGTCACTAGAAACCTCAAATCTAGACCCAAACAAGTAATGTCTCCACAACTTAAGTACAAATATACTATTGCAGCTAACTCAAGGTCATGGGTAGGATAGTTTTGCTCATGAATTTTAAGTTGTCTAGAAGCATAGGCTACTACCTTACCCTCTTGCACAAGCACTCCTCTTAAACCCAATTTAGAAGCATCACAAAATACCTCAAAAGTCTTACTAGGGTCAGGTAACACTAACACAAGGGCACTAGTTAATCTCCTCTTAAGCTCTTGAAAGCTTTCCTCACACCTAGAATCCCACATAAAAGGTTGATCCTTCTTCGTCAGTTTAGTCAAAGGAAGAGCTAGCCTAGATAAATTTTCTATGAATCTTCTGTAATAACCGGCTAGTCCTAAGAAGCTCCTAATCTCAAATACTGATTTAAGTATACTCCACTCTAACATAACTTTTACCTTAGCAGGATCTACAACTATCCCACTGTTGGATATCACATGTCCTAGAAAGTTCACACTATCCAACCAAAATTCACATTTTGACAATTTAGTATACAGCTGCTTCTCCTTAAGGGTTTGAAGAACGATCCTAAGGTGCTCAATATGCTCCTCCATAGTCTTGGAATACACTAGGATATCATCTATGAAGACCACTACAAATCTATCCAAGTAAGGGTGAAAGATCATATTCATGTAGTCCATAAAAACACCAGGTGCATTAGTCAGACCAAAAGGCATAAATAAATACTCATAGTGCCCATAACGGGTCCTAAAGGCAGTCTTAGGAACATCCTCAACCCTCACTCTAATATGATGGTATCCTGATCTTAAATCTATCTTACTGAACACATAACCTTGTACTAGTTGATCCATAAGGTCATCTATCCTAGGCAAGGGATACTTATTCTTAATGTTCACTTTATTCAGTTGCCTGTAGTCTACGCATAATCTCATGCTCCTATCTTTCTTCTTAACCAATAAAACACGTGCTCCCCAAGGCGAGACACTAGGCCTAATGAATTATTTCCCTTGTAGTTCCTCTATTTGTTTCTTAAGCTCAACTACTGTCTGAAGCCTTTCACCACTAATCTGGCTTTGTACCTTGGAGATGTAGAAATACTTTCTTGCTTCACCCTGAAAATCCACCTGTTTTCTAAGGCCCTCTTACCCTTAGGCAATTTCACCAAGTCATAAGTGTGATTATCATGCAAGGATTTCATCTCATCTTGCATTGCATCCAACCACTGTTGCTTTTCTTCACTTTCCAAAGCCTCTTCAAAACATTCAGGTTCTCCACCATCAGTCAAGGTCACATACTCATCAGAAGAATACCTTGTTGAAGGTTGTCTCTGTCTATTAGACCTCCTGAGTTGAACTTGATGTGGTTC